GTAATCCAAAGTATTCAGAATACGTTACTCTCATTGAGTAACGTAACGGAATACGTTACAGAATACATTTTGGGGCATGTATTCTGTATTCTGTAATGAAATACATTTTAAAAGTAACCTTCCCAACACTGTACATAGTGTATCGTAGTTTGTCGTGTATAGGGCTACATAGCACAGACCAGTGTCCGTGTAGCCCGTGCTGACCCGTCTCAACAATGGGCACAACTGGACCATAAAAAGGAGCACAATAATGACTTTGAGAAGTTGACTTGGCATCCAAATTCCCCAGATCTAAATCCAAGTGAGCATCTGTGGAATGTAATGTGTAAACAAGTCTGATCCATGGAGGGCCATTTGCTGCCGGTAGCACTGGTACATTCAAGGTGGATGGAATAATGAAAGAGGAGGACTACCTCAAAATTCTTCGACGTCACCTCAAACCAACATCTAGACTGTTGAAACGTAAACACATTTGGGTGTCCCAGAAGAACATTGATCCTATTCACACCAAAACTGGTTTTGGAGGCTTCTGGACTACATCCCACAGTGGGGGAAAAAACAGTTTAAAGAAACCATTAAAAAAAACAAAAATATCAAGATATTCATGTATGTAAACTTCTGAACACAGATGCTGTAGTGCTCTCACTCAGATGGACAACAGGATGTTTCTTTTGTCACCGTTTCCTGTGTCTGTAAATACATGGAAAGAAATTTAAACAATCACAAGATGCAGTCCATCAGTTATACTATTTTTTTGTCTTAGCTGCATTTTTGCTCCATCTCCTGTGACATCATTTTAAACACATTTTCTATTACAGTTAGGGAGCAGTTTACTGCGACTCCTATAAAGTGGCACAAAGGTTTAGGGCTGTTACCTCAGCTGTGGATTCATCTGACTTCCTGCAACAGTTTTCTCACTGGGGTGGGGGTCCTCTGTTGTCTCCAGTGTTAAGCATGCTGACTGGCTGAAGCTCCATTTCCTCTGCCTCAGTTTGCACAGTTTAAGCTTTCTCATTCAGCCTCAGCTGTTTAGTCTTTAGCCTGGCCACACCCATGTTTGTTCTGTCGCTTTGCCTGCATAATATCCATTCAATATGACAAGTAAAGCATGTGCACAGGGGCCCTATTTTGAGGCTTTTCCAAGATAAAATAAGCTTAAGAGCAAGAAAAAACACATATAATGGCAAATAAAAGAACCCAGACATGATGATGGTGATAACGTGTAAAACATGCTGGATGAGGAGGAGGATGAGGAGGAGTGTGATTCGTGTTAGTCTTTTTTTCCAAAGCCCAACAAGAACAACATGTGCAAAGCAATGAAAACAAAGGGCTTCGTGGTTATGAGAAGAAAGGAACTCACCCAGCGAGATGACCGTTGGTTAAAAACACACTGTCCACATTAACTTAACTAACAGCACAGACACGAGGGGCCGTGGTAGACTTATGTAAGCCATATGGGTGCGCAGACCAACTGCTAAAACACATGCAGCAGTATTATGCAGTTGTACGTGAGCTCGGTGACATTACAGTAGATGATTTAGGGCCATTTAGTGTGACTCATGCACAGTGTTGATGTAGCACAGCAAAAATAGCTTCTGAATGTGAGCTCAGTAAACCACACAAAAGACTGTCAGACAATTAAACGATTCATTTAGATAAGAAAATAATGTGAAAGCACTGATGTCAAGTAGTTTTCATCAACTGTGTTAAGCCCTTAGATTTCATGTCTGGCATTACAAACGAATAAAAAAAACAGCAACAAAGCAATGGCAAGCTGTATGGAATGCCTTTAATATATACATATTTCCACCTGTTATAATGGCACTGAAGCTACAGCAGTGGTGTTGGCAGGGATTTGTATTCCCGCCACATGATTGCACCATTTCTGTGTGAAACGGCGCACTCTGAATGTCTGGCAAAAGATTTACAGAGGCTTGCAAATCCTTGATAAACAAACGGCATAAATGTCCACAGTAACAAATGATTTACTCTTCAAAAGAGGAAAAAAATTAACCTCGGGTGCGGAGAGTGATCTGAACAGCGCGCCGTTCACTTGTTTTGAGAGGAATAATCTTCTTCGGAAACCAAATTGCACAATAGGTTTAAAACCTAAAGACATGTCTTGTGAAGGTGGATATTTATAGCAGCGTGCAATAAATATAGCAACAAAAAAATATATATTGTGAGGCTTATAATTTAGCTTCAAAACTGACAGTCTCTCAAATTGATGTTTATAGGCTTCACAAAGGTCGTATTTCTTGCAGGGCTCGTCGTAAACTGGATGGCATGACGCTGGAGTCTCTGTACCTTTTATTCTGTCCATCCCCTGCCTCTCTAACATGCGTGTCAGCAAAAGCAAGCTGGCAGCAGGACGGCTCACACTGACACTGACACAAGCAGAGGGAGGTTTCGGGAAGAAAAACAACAAATGTGGGTCAGATTTGTTCGGAGAGGACTCGTATATGTATATTTAAAAAACGATGAGAAACTCAGACAACAGTGTGACCGAATGCCCTGCATTGATGATAAAAGCTTGCTGTCCATTATTGAGACTGGTGCTCTTTGGATTCCTCCGCTGCTGGTGAGCGTAAACTGAGTGTGTGAGCGAGTGGTTAACAAAAAGAAAACCCCAAAACAACCCCCTCCCAGAAAATCTCACGAGGGAGGGGTGCAGACTGTGGTGTCTTCTTGAAATACGTCGAACGACAAAAGTGTGACAACACGGGAAAGGACATAACAACACATCCCTTGACTTTCATTTGGCAGCAGCTTCCTTTGGCTGTCCGGGTTTTAAATAGGCAGTGTCTTGCTTTCGATCCATAAGCACACGCACGCGTACTCACTCACACGGTGTAGCCGTACATACTCACAAACATACATACAGTACATGATGCAGTACATAACATGCACGTACACAGATATAAATACGTAAAGGTTTTCTTTAAATGCACTTCTGTGTCCGCAGCTCTCCGCTTTGAAAATAGGAAGGTGCATAAATAAAACATTCCTATTATAGAAAAGGTCCATGCATGCCTGGCACCTCTGGGTTTGCTGAGACTGAATGTGGAGGAAATATGAGGGCTGTGTGCCATCTGGCTGTATCCCCTCATCTCTCACCACTTCATAAATTATGCTTCTTCTTCGTGATTGTGTCGTTTGACTCTCGGGCAGTGTTTGGACAGTACATTAGTCTCTCTTGCTCTCTCTCTCTCTCTCTCGGTGTCTTTATTTATTTATTTATTCATTGTCCTTCACAGATGGGTGCTGTCCTGCGTATCGAACCTGTGGCTCTCTGAGAGCCCGGTGCTGCACTTCCTGCTGCTCCCTTGATTAGGTACCAAGGAGAGGGGGTCTGGCCTGATCAGGTACCTGGAGATGGGACACAGGACAGATTGACCACAGTAGTATTTGTAATTTTTAGTGCTGGTTTCACTTATAGCACTAAAAGCGTGCTGCCGTATACTCACACGACATCATGGAGCTCCAGTCTGGTGTCTGGAGGAGGGTTGATGAGGATATATGACAGTCTGTTCCCTTGGTCTGTCATCCCGTCTGACACAGGAAGAAAAGAGGTTAGTAAGGCAGGAAATGAAGTAGGCACAGGATACACAGCAGGCCGTGCTACATCCGCACATGCAGAATAGGCTTTATGTTACACTGAGTCACATGACAGGAATTTGGATAAAAATGGACACGAGTCCAAACAGTGTCACAGATAGTAAACATTAGGGTGAGCGACACAGATACTTTGCTTAGGTAGAAGCAGAAGTTTGAAAAAATAAAAAGGCTGGTATGATTACAATGATGATTACAGCGTATTAATGTGTTTTTTTATTCATGCACACGGTCTAGGTGTAGCTAATTTTGATAAACAGCTAACAAAATGCTAAAAATATGTCACAGAAATATGTAAAATATGGAATTATTTGAAATAATTATGTAACAATTTGAAATGTGCAAATGCAATCTGAGTATTTTCACATTATTTGTAAAAAGGTTTGAAAAAATTAGTTTAATCTAATTATTTGTAAATAAATAAGAAAATTTAAAAAAAAAACATTAGAAACTACTTATTATAAATGTCAACTATAGTAACCTGCCACTTTATTAAGTACGCTTTGCAAGTAGTCTGTTTAAGCCAGCATAAATTCAACAATCTGTTCCACGACATCCCAAACATCCTCTTTTGGATCGAGACCTGGTGACTCTGGAAGCTATTTGCGTACAGTGAACTCATTGTCAGTTTGAGATGAACCTGAGCTTTGTAACATTAAGTGTTATCCTGCTAGAAGCAGCACTCTTCTGATACACATGGACAGCAACAATACTCAGATAGGCTGTCGTGTTTAAATGATTCTCAGTTGGTACTTAGGGACCCAGCCTGACTGAACCCCTGGTATAAGACAGGACAGATCCAAGCTTTCATGTTGTTTAAACCAAATTCTGACTCTACCATCAAAATGTGGCAGTAGAAATTAAGTCTCATCAGAACAATCAACCATTTTCCAATTTTCTGTTGACTAAATTTGGATAGTCCGTGGCATGTGTTTCCTGTTCTTAGCTGACAGATGTGGGACCTGGTGTGGACAGCAGCCAGAGAACTGCTGTTCACTGGATATTATCTCTTTTTCTGGTGATTTTCTGTAAACCCAAGAGACGTTTGTGGAAGAAAATCCCATCATATCAGTAGTTTCCGAAACTCAAAACACAGCCTGGCACCAACAAACATTCCATGTCCCTTCAATCGCCTTTCTTTCCCACTCCGATGCTCATTTTGAATTTCAGCACTTCCTTGGCCATGTCTACATTCCTAAAATCACTGACTTGCTGCCATGTGATTGGCTGATTAGATATTTGTGTAAACAAACAGTTGAACAGGTGCACCTAAAAAAACTAACCACTGAGTGCAGTTTAAAGTAAGGCAAACGCTTACATAATCCAAAAATACTGAATTTAAAAAAACCCCTGAATGTTTGATCCCTTTGTGAAGGAGATCCAGTGGCCATGTTGCTCCACTATGAAAGCTTACAGGTGTGCAGTGTACCTCCGTTTCTCAGTCTGATCCATCCCTCACTTGTCACACCGCAAAGACAGTGATGGAAAAATTTCTCAGACTGAGGCTTGTTACAGAAGCTGTGTCCACCTTTTACATGCAGCTTCTGGTCCTTTCAGTATAGTTACAGACTTGTGGAATCGATGCCAAGATGCATTAAAGCTGTATTAGTAGCACACGGTGACCTGACACCTACTTGTCTCCCGTCTCTGTGCGCTACATCCACCACTCAAAAGCAGGAACAGTTAGATTCCTACACAAATTGCTGCAGACTTACTGAATCCACTTGGAGAAAGGCCCAAATGTTTCATCCTTGTCCGCACCAGCGCGTTGAGTTCCTGCCTCTCTGAGCGCCTGAAAAGAGTCAGTCTCTGTTGGCTGATCCTCTCTGCCGCACTGCCGGGTCCCCCTTTGGACCCACTGGAACTCCGACCCCCCTTCCTGCTCAACCGCCGTGCCCACTGCATGCTCTTCCTCCTCAGCAGCGGGTGGTCTGAAGAGTGCGAAGAGGTGGAAATGGGCTCCGAGGATGTCGAGTTCCGGTGGACGCTGGTCCGGGATAACAGGGGCTCCCTGGGTTCTCTGGTGTCCTCGTAGTCCTCAACTGTGATAGATACCTGGGACTGAGACCCGCACACAAGCAAAAGCTTACACTTCTTCATATGTGAAGTAAACCTGTTATGACGCTGGTCTCATTAAATCAGTTCTGCGGCAGTTCTGTTTTCAGATTTCTCAAAGCAAAGCGGGATTAACACTTTATCTTATTAGAAACAAATGATGAATAAAAGATAGATTCTTTGAATGTAATCACAAGTGTTTTTTGGCAAAGCTCTCAGTTCCCAAAGCGCCATGTTTAATATGCAGATTTCATTCAACTATGTCTGTTTCACTTCGCGGAAACACATCAAAACTAAGCTCTAACTGTCCTTACAGCTATCAGTGTCTTCATAACATGAACAAACAGGATTAACATCAAGACAGATTCTTCTATTTAAACTAATCCAAAGGGAAAATTTCCTGACTGATTTTGTTTTTATAGCGAGGAAACTCTTTAAAAGCAGAAAGTGTGTTCATTGCATGCAATTTAATAATCTTTAGATTAAAGTAACTGCAGTGACAGTCAGCAATTTCTTAGCCATAAAACACCAAAACAAGAGGAGCCGCTGACCTCAGAGACCGGAAGCTTGTGGGCCTCCGTTCGGTAGATCCCTATGGGAATGTCTCCAGTGGACGAGCATAGCTTCTGGTAGAGCCTGCCATAGTTGCGGATCCACAGGTCGTCTTCTGTGATTTTCATCTAGATGACAAACAACACAATAATCAGCATCGTAAGCAGTTACAGTCCAAACACAGTTTGAGCTCCTTGTGTCGCTACTTACGGCACAGAGGAAACCTGATCCCGGCATGGAGTCTAAACCAAGCAGCAGCCTGGTGATGGAGATCATGTAGTCCTTCACAAATGACTGGCAGGACATTCAAACAAAAAGTCAGTAGATATAGATCACACTCGGCACACTCGGGAGAAGGATCTTTGTTATTCAGTAAGAGTTTGTCTGAGAAACCTGGTAGAGGAGAGTGTCCAGCATGCTAACGCTAAACACCTTCCCAGCAGCGAAGGGCAAGCGGAACATAAAGACCAGGTTAGACCCCTTCTCCCTTTCCTTCTGGAGAACAGACACACAGACACACAGCATATTTTGGATTACAATAGGCCCAAAGGCGATAAAAACACAAGACTGTAATCACCACAATCTTTTTAAAATCTAACTTCTTTAAGCTGTTATGAAATCAAGCTTCCTTGACTTGAAGTTAGCGCTGACAAAGTGACATTCACTCTCATGGCCACATTAGACTTTCCTCTGCATCTGATTAGCATGTAATGTTGGATTAAACTCCCACCATGCATAGCAAAATCAAAACAAAACAAAAAAAAAAAAGAGGTCGGAAATCCACTAAAGGCCTTTTTCCAACTGTGAGCCGATGGCGTTCATGAGAAATTTAAATTTATCTCATCACACTGTTGTTTCTGTATTGAAATTCATTTTAAGACTTCAAGCAGTGACTAATTTACTGCTCTGTTGATTGATGTTATTGATGCCCAAGGGGGATTCATTAGCTTTCACGCCGAGAACGACATTATCAACAACAACAGATATTAAAAAAAAGCAAGATGTAATGGGTGAAAGGAACAAAAACCACAAGCTTACGATCAATCACACGTTTTACTCTGGGGTCATTAGAGGAGCTGTGGCAAAAGAGCTCTGCAAATCAATTTATTTTGAAAGGCACTTATGGCACACTAAAGATTGGCTTTCACACTGCAAATTTTTTCCCTTATGCTGTTTTTCCCCCATTATAAAGGTCTGTATTGAAGGAAATGACAGTAAAAGAAAATATGGAGTTAGGGTTAGGGTTAGGGTTACCTTTTCCAGTTTGGACAGAGCTAAAGAGTAGTGGTCTTTGACTTTAAACTGCATGAAGCGCATGTTGGCCGGGTGAGTGAGCTCTGTGATGATACTCAAACCTGGGAACAGCCTGACAGGGGTGGAAACGAGAAGGACACACAGAGAGAGATATTAAAATTTGAAGCTAGTGTGTGAGATTGAAGAACAAGTTTGGGCAAAGCAGACCTGAACAGTGTTTGGACGTTGACAATGGTCTTTGCATCAGCCATATAGTCCTCCTCAGCAATCATGGAACTCTCCTTGTCAACCACCACCATGGTGTCGGCAAAAGTGATCCCACATCGCAGCAGACTGTCCAGACTGTGGAAAGAGAAGGAACGACGATTAAAAAGCTAAAAAATAAGAATAAAGAAACAAGGAGATTTGGGTTGTCTTACTTGTCGATAGAGCCCACTGTGTAGAACACCATGGGGAACCAGCAGATTGCCTCCAGGAAGTCTGCTTCGGGTCTAAACCAATCAAAACACAAATAGACTTGAGAGTCCCACCGGTAGAGATTTATACACACAATGATAAAGAGCTAACGTTCCCACAGTGACAGACCCCTCCTCACTCAGTCTTGAAAAATAAGGCACAACCAAACAGCCTGCAGATAAAGCTGAAAATAACAGCACTACACGGGAGTGACTCAGCTTTTTATTGCCTTTTTATTGGATTCCACTCTCATTTGGCCAACTGCGCTTGTGTACCAGCCACAAAACACGACACAGGATTGTGGAGAGCATTGTCCTGAAAGCATTCAGCGTTCCACAAATCATGTTCGCCGTGACCAGTTTTTCTCCTCCACTTGCTATTTACAGAGGGACTCATTCTGCTATCCTCTGCAACCTGTATATGAGATGCAGCTCACCACCGTGCTGACTTTGAAGCCTGAGTTTCCAATAACAGCCAGTGCATCACAAGAAATAATAGAGATGTTGCGCTCACATGCTCTCCAGCAGGAGCACAATAGGGTTGAGCTCCTTCCTCGGTCGGTAGTAGGCCCGCAGCGGCACAATGAAGTTGTACAGACCATTCCCCGCACTCTCCGCAGAGACAATAATCAGCTTGTTTTTGAAGCCGTAGGAGCGGGCATCCTCGAAAGGGATGTGGTGACAAGCCTAGAAAAGAGCAGTGATGGCGTGATGGCTATGTCAGCGTAGAAAATAGAGAGAGCAAGCCATTTAAATTTTATACCTTGTCCAAGCGCAGGCAGCAGAAAGGCATCTTTTCTTGCAGGAGGTGGCACAGTGCAGGCGAGCTGCCGATGTATGGTGAGTTAAGCGGGTATCCCTTCACCCACCTGCAGCACAAGCCCACATTTACCTCTGAACTTACCCACTTCCACATGTTCCCACATTAAATCACTCTACTCACTCGCAGTGTTGACCCCACCAGTGGGCGCTCTCATCTTTGTCACTGTCCTCCTTGCCTTCTTCTCCTCCTTCGTCCTCGGACTGGTCTCCCAGAAGGTCAAAGGTGGGGTTGTTGACGCCGTCGACTAGCTCCAGGACAGGGGCGATGCTGTGTCGCCTCTCCTCTGTGGAGTCTCCCATGGCGGGAAGAGCCAAGGTGTTGGCACCCCCGGTCTCTGTTCTGGAGCTGCTTCTGCTTCCTCTCCCACTGCCAGGTCCTGCGCTTCCTGCGTCCTGGCCTTCTGGACTGCTGTCACTGGAGTCCTGCAGGTCGATGGCAACTGTGCCTAAAACACACACACACACAGAGGATCTAAGCATGGATTCAGGTGTAGATCAGCAGTTTTCCTCATTGTCCACTAGGTGGTGTGTTTGTAAAACCACAGTTTTCTGGCATTATTGCTCTTGTCAAGTGTGATTTACTCCATAATAAAATAGATGGTAATTCCCCTCCAAATGCTATGAATGTTTGTTTTAATCTCCTGGCATAATTCTGCCAGCTGTGACTGAGCTGTTCTCTAAGACAGTTTAATAACAGGTTTGCATTTTTGACCAACACAGAAACTGCAAGCAGAAGGTCAGTGTGTAAATGTTACACAGTCTTTGTGCGGCGCCCATCTGACTGACCCATGCTGGCGATGATACTGTGGACTGGCAGGCGGGTGAGTCCATGGTAGATGCTTTGGTGCACTCCCCTGGCATTTCCTCCTGTGCCACCCCACGATGGCTCCCTTTGGCCCCTGACAAATGCTGAGTTCTCCTCTTTGGAGATATTGATGTAAAAGCAAGTGTCAGAGGCTCCCATGATGTGGCACGGACCAGGGTTTAACAGGATGTTGGTTGTGTCCAGCCTGCGTACTCCGATTAAGCACACCCCATACCTGCAGCCACACAGACAAGATCAGCTCTGAATTGTGCAACGTCATGTGCTTTAAAAGCTTTTGCAGATCATTGCTTACTTTTTGTGAGCGTGAAAAGAGGCAAAAGTGAAACTCTTCCCTTGGTATTCCCCAAAGAATTTGCTCTCTTCCAGACGGATATGATGCACCTCATTGGCCGAGCACCGTCGGTAGGTGCGGTGCCATTGGTCCGCCGAGCATGCACCGCCCTCCCTGCGAGAAGAAATTTGGCCATGTGGGGAAAGACTGACCTTTAAAACATGTTACACAAAACATCCAGCTCTTCCATCAAGGCTGAGGAGGTAACATCTTATATCTCTGTCAGATCCGCTGATCAAGAGCACAGCGATGCATGCATGGACACCCAGGCTGTCTGATCAATAGGTCCCAGATGAACACATTTGCACAGTTAGGAGGACAGCAGTTTACACAGGGGGATATGGCTTAAGACGCGGAGGCTAAAGAGGTGATAACACGAAGCAGGGGTGTGGGGGCAGTGTGAATGTGGGAGGCTTGCAACAAAGACCGTATTACATAAAAAAGTGTTATAGCAAATTTACAGTTTACAGGAACTAAGTGCAAGGCAGGGGAGGAGGAGGACAAATCCTCGTCATGTCGCATTGTTGCAGCCAATAAACCAAATGGCATCACGTCTAGATATAGAAGCAAACTTATGAAACACCCTGCTTTTGCATGTTGAACTATTTTGCTGAACTGTTAAATGTTTTCTGCCTTTTTGCAATTGAAAAATATGTTTATTGCACTCACTTGTGTTAGCAACATTTGCATAAGCTTTAAATAAGAAGCTGCTTGTGTAATGTGATGTGTTAGCTATTTATCTGACATTTTACATTTAATTCATTAGTTCGTGTTTTTGTTTTGAAAGAAATGCTAAAAATATATAGCCTAGCCACAAATCTGCACATATTTAATGGTGTTACAGCTAATTGAGATATTTGAACACAACATCTGTGAAAATTTGCAATTAAAAAAATATTTGTACCCCACTCAAGTGTAGCGTTTCCCCTTGAGATGACCGATATAATCGTGGTAATTTTGCCTCTGCACACCACCATGATGGATTCGTAATGAAACAATCAAGATGTGATTGAAGTCCAGATTTTCAGCTTTAATTCAAAGGGCTTTTGCGAAACAAAATGCAATACTGTTCAGTATTTACTGCCATTTTTATGCAACTTCATACAATTTCAGATGCTCAAAATTAATTGGACAACTGCATGCTTTTCAGGTATTTTGCATTAAAACTGAAGGCAAAAAGACCTACAAACAAGCAGCAACTGAAGGTGGCTCCAGTAAAGGTCTAGCAGAGCATCTCAAAGGGTGAAACACAGCATTTGGTGATATCCAGGGGTTTTAGACTCCCAACAGTCTTTGACTGCAAAGGATTTTCACCCAAACAATAAAAAAGCCTTATATCTAAAATATGTCATTTTGTCCAATTAATTTTGAGCCTTGGAAAAATGGAAAATTCATAAAAGAAAAAACAATCCAAATGTTTGTAAAATGTCTTGAATTAAAGCTGACAGCTTGTACGGAGGCAAAACTATGAAAAACTTAAGAGCAAAAACATTCCACTTCATGCATAACCATGTAAACAAACACCGTTTCATGCCTCACATGTTTCCCTTACAAACAATGGAAGTAAGCGCTATGTGCAGCACAGCATGCAAACTGTGGAAGTTGACAGAGAATTTGGGATAACCTTGAGCACAAACGTGGGAAAAGAAAAATCTACCTGTTGAGGGCTTGAAAGGCTCCTACACGTTGCTTGAAGGCCTCTTGGTGCGCCGTTCTTGAAAAATAAAGATGAGTGGCAGTGAAGAGACACGACGCAGCCGAGTTTGACTGCTTACTGCATCTTTGAATTTCGAGACTGCAACAGCGTACTGTGGACAGTTAAATCGAAAGAACGATAGGAAGAGAGAAAAGAAGTGAACTCACTGTCCTCTAGAGGAGTGGATCAATAGAGTGATGAGAGTTGAGGTACCAGGGCACACACAGTTTAAAGCCAGCATGGCATACTTAAACTCTTCTTCACATACCACATGGTCTGCAAACACAAAAAAGAGAACAGGCACAAAGGATGCATCTGCAAATCGCATTGTTATTTTTAAAAGTTGATCTTCTTCTTTTGCCTGCTCCATCTAACCCTATCCCTGTCTTCTGTCATCTCCTTTGTGGTCTTACTCTTTTCCTCCAGCTTGGCAGCTTCACATTCATCATCCTCTATTCAGTATGTCATCTATCACTCCTCTGCACATGCCCAAACCATCTTCTCCTCCATCTTCTACCAGGATGTAACATAGCAGCAAAACACTCAGTGACGCCTCGTGCCTGGTGGACAAGGGTATTATCTGCTTGGAAGATAAAAGTGATTGCTCACAACAGCTTATTTCATTGATTTGCAGTGACCCTTACCTCCAAATGTGGACCACAACAGCACAAACTCTCACTTCAGGAGTCAAAGGTTGAACTTTTTCCTTTAATTGGTCAAATGTCTATAAATCGATGGATCCGGGTCAAAGATTAATAATCAGACCAACGTATTAAATAGGAATATTTTCATTTGAATTGTGCATTTTTTCTTAATTAACCTTTTCCCACCACATGTGCACACAGTCCAAACCCAGAGCTTGGAAAATATGTTTTGTTTGTCCAATTAACACTTCAAAACTCAACGATATTCAACAGATAATTACATGAAACACAAACAACACATTTAGGCATTTAAGGAGCTGCAAGCAGCAACTTTGCGGCATATTTTCTTTGCATGCAACACATTCATTCAAATTATTATTAATTTTCTGCTAACCAGAAATAGTTTAGTTTGATGTTCATTTAATTATCTGCTCAAAACACTAAAAAAAGAACATTTAAATAAATATGAAAGCTACTCAGGAGTTTCACTGAAACTTTGTGCTAAATAAATATTCCCAAAGAAAACTGTTGGTCTTATTTACTTTACCTCTCCTTTAAACACACAAAATGTAGCGTGCGTTTTACATATTAGACTGTTATTGTGGCTCTATCCTTAACATTAAAGGACACGAGCGCACAATCAAATGTCACTATCTCACATTGGAATATGTCTAAATGTCACCTGACGTTTGTCACCGTCCCCGTTGACTCAGATGGGATCAATTTTATGTCGCTGCTCGGGGTTTTTTTTGTTTGTTTTGGGGGTTTTTTGGGTGGGGGTGAGACCTGGTAACAGGCCGGTGATTCAGCGTCAACCCCACTGAGCCACCTTCCACTCACGTCATTGAGCACTTAACGTAGTGCTGCCTGGGTGCCAAGCGAGCCAAACTGAGCAAACGCAGATGACGGCGCCTCGTTTACCTGTTGCTGCTCAGCATCCTCTTTGAAAGAAAAACCAACAGAGCGATTAATGTTTTTTGTAAGCCAATCAGAGCATCCATTTCTCCTGCTGTGTAATTCTTGATTGCATTATCGACAGCGGTGAGCACACGGGCATGTTAAGGTCTGAAAGTACAATTTGTGCACTGTATCATTGAATAACCGGTGAGAAATGTCAGATCCCGACTCTACTCGGCCGCTACTGTGAGAAACAGGAGGCCAGCTATGATGTAAACGCAGCTTGTGATAAAGTAGCAGACTTTGTGTTTGTGTGTATGTGTGTGCCAGAGGCTGAGCAGGTGAGAGACATGACAATTAAAACTGCTGATTGTGAATATTCTGCTAGAGAAGTAGTGTTCTTTCGGCTCAACACATCATGATGCAGCTCACAAACAAACACACTGTAGCATCTTGCTATTCTGCCTCTGAAGTCCTTTCAAAGCAGAAGGTTTTATAGAGCAGCGAGCATCTGAAGCCTCCTGAGCAAAAAGACAAAAACACTGATGTTGTTTCTACAGAGGAACAGTATTCATTATTGTTAGACACGCATTCCTCCCTCTTTCTCTCTCTGAGTCTCTCACACACACATTTCCCCAGCTCCCAGTGCACAGACGTGGTAGCCATGCATCAAACTGAATCTTATTTTCCCAATATTTAATTTCCAGTGTCCTTCTCGCACCTTTCCACAACACCGCCCCTTCGCTTCCAGTTTTCTACCCTCAAGCACAGCCCTCCTTCCTGCCCTGTCTCCTTCAGGTGCCTAGACCCAGACCAGGAGTGAAACCAATTACTGACACTAGAACACCGCACATGCACAAACACACATAAGGACACACTTTTTGCTTCCTGTCATGCTGACTTTGAAGGTCTTGGTTTTCTATTACAGAGAGGCATTAAAGGTGCAATCCTGTTTGTGCAAATGTGCATATCTGCATGTAAATGTGGCTATTGGCTCTCCCTGCAAGAGCGCAATTACAACCTGACCACAGGTCGGCCGGCGAAGCTAATTAAATCAGTCGGCCTTTATTGCTTGTACAAGTCAGCTGCTATCAATACCATGCGGCTACAATAAGTTGTGCTCATCAGGGAAACTGTTTATTGTCATTAAAAACAAAAACCTGGACAGTCTGGATCCAATTTTTTTTATTATTATTCAGACACCTCAGGGGTTTCCTGGCCTGCTCCAGCATCATACCCACAGATCTATAATGAACCTTGAGCTGTTTTTAATTCACTTTTGCAAATCAAATTAAATCTTGTATCTCTTGCTCATTAATGCCTCCCACACTATTGCTTAGTGAGTCTATTCTAAGTAGTGTCAAAACAGAGCATCTGTACTTACAGTAATGCGCATGTGACAGCATGCTATTTGCTCTCTGAGTCTACCTACCAGGCCTTGAGGATTCGAGGACGTTAAACTCGATTTATTTTGAAGAGCCGTACCTTGTATACGGCTAAAGTCCTACTCAGAACTCAAATATTTTGTATTCAGCACTAAATATTTGATACAATACTCGCATCACCCAGTGCTAAATCAATACTTTGAAATGATTAAGGAGGATTTTTAAACTCGATTTATGTGAGATAGCACTTCAAAGCAAGTCATAGATTTTACAGCAGCTAAACTCTCAGCACAGATTTACCCAACTGCTTAGCTCATGAATTTATCTTTTTGCTTATAAAAAAGGCCAACAAAGGTCTGACTGTGCCAGTGTGGAGTTGAACCTGCGCTGCAGGAGGATTGCCTGTGGTAAGAGCTCTTCTGCCAGGTTAGCGTAACAGCAGACCTCATCAAATGAAGGGGATTTTCTTTGCCAAGGTAGCAAAGTAAAACATTAATCATTGATAGAGACAGCTGGGATGAGGGCGGTAAGCTAGAATTGAGTCTGACTTTCTCCATTGCTGTAGGCAGCGAGATGTGTGAGATAGGAAAGGGTGAGATAGCGACCGAGCGAGATAGAGACAGTGAGAGAGAGAGAGAGAGAGAGAGAGTTTGGGTCCTCTTCTTTCACTCACAGATGATTGACTGGCGTCTTCTGTTGAGCCGGAGAAGAAGGGAAGCTCTCCAAAAGGCAATGTAAAAACTTACAGAAACCCTCAGAAGGCTTAAAGCCAAGCTGTGCCAATCTGTCCAGCACTTCTTTAGAGCAGGAAAGGACAGAGAGCTCTGCTGCTGCAGCACGCTGATAGAAAAAGGATCCAGATTTAGAACGACAGTTGTTGACGCACACTCGAAAATTGTGGTGAAATTTCCAAAATGAGCATAATGTTCTCTGCGGAAGCAAAGTAAAAATGCTTACCTAATCGCCTGTCTTTTTAGACAGCTACGCATCATCACCGGTGACAAAGCAATTCCAATCACATTATTGGGCAAAATCAACTGTCAATGGACCAGGAGAACACACAGACAGACGATGAATAAAAAAAAAAACTGAACACTTGAACCCCACAGCGAGGGGGTGTGAGGTGGTGGTGAGCGGAATGACAGTGCCACCATCCACAGAGCGTGAGGGGTCTCTGAATAGCTACCATATGCTATGACCTCGGGGTGACGGTGGCTCAGGAAGTAAAGCAGGTCGTGTACTAATTGGAAGGCCGGTGGTTTAATCCCTAACTGCTCCCAGTCTGCAAGCCAAAGTAAAAAAAACAGTGCTTGTGTGACTGAGACGTGTTGTATAAAGTGCTTTGAGTACTCAATTAGAGTAAGAAAAGCTCTTTATCAGAAGCAGTCCATTTGCCTTTACCAGACATCAACCCGTGGGAGATGTTTTAGACGTCCACTAAATGAGGGAATACCATTTTGGAAGAATGCTCTTTCATCCATTAGAGCTCTAGAGACTTGTAGAGTCAATGCCATCAGGTACCATTTCATTATTTCCTGCATCCTGGTGTGATCAAATAATAGTAGCTCCATTCAAATGACTCATTCAGTGGCATCACCAATAATTTGATTTCACACTCACTGCCCACCTGCAAATTTGACATGGAACTTGTTCTCAGGCTTGAGAATCTGGACGTAAAGGGGGCAGTTTGGAGCGAAGTCTTTCACCGCCCATGCTCGAAGGATGGTCTGGTGATCCTGAGAAAATTAGAAACAAAGAGTAGTGAGATAAATGGAGTGGCAGAGAGAGAGAGAGAGAGCGTTAGAGTGCAACAGAGGGAGAAAAAGAGAAAGAAACCCATCATTAGCTCGGCTATAATAATCCCCTTAAAGCACTGATTGCATGCAGCAACTGAATGGTCCGTGCAACATCTCAGAGTAATAAAATACTGACATTTTATGACAGGCTGTGGCAAGAGCATGGAGAGAGTGAGCTCAAGAAGACTAGCCCTGAGAGAAATTTTGAAAAGTCAGTGAAAGGAAAAACAGGAGTTTAAAGCTGCGCGAGGCTGCACTCTGACACAGCGGCGCTCTGAGCTAAAAGGTTATCTTGCTAGAATTTACTAACAAGGAAAAAATTCAAAGTAGCCGTGGCTGATAGGCACGTCAGTTTGCGGATACTAACAACAAACCAAAGAAATGGCTAAATTGAAATTTCAACTTCACGGATCAGTTGGGTGAGAAATAAGGGCATCGTCGCTGCATGTTAATGGAAGAATAACTTCCGTGTCAAATCTCGTGGCTCTCCAGTAAAAACTTGTTGATGTTTTTCACGGAAATGTAAAAATGTCAGCCTCGTGATGAATGAAAAGGTGTGCTAACAATGAGCGGACCTTGAAAAGTCCAAATGAGAGAGTCATGCTCGATTGCCTGAACGCTGATATTTTAGAAAGGAGATAGTGATATTATTCGAGTAATACACCAGCTTACAAGATACGAATATTAAAGAGTTGCTCTGTAATGTCAAGCACGTTTTTCTCTTACTCCCAGTTTTAGTTGTTTTGCACTGCAATTAATATGTTAGGGGAAATAATCGAGCTAGAAATGAATGCCAAGTCATAAAAAGCTGCTACCAAAGAAAACTGCTATTTTGCTAAGTCTGGTTATACTGATGTTTTGCAGTGTGAGGAGTTGTGGCAATACAGGAAAGTGGGGAGGCACGTACAGCAGCAATGCGGTCCACTTCAAACCGGTTACTGAGGATAAAGCAGGCCTCAGCATCGTCCATCCTGGAGGGAGTTAGTACAGCATGTAGCATTGGGAGTGCCGGAGAGAGAGAGAGAGGGGGAGAGAGAGAGAATTGGGGAAGCCATGAAACACAGGAAGGAGGGTGTTGTCATGTTATTGAGCGAGAGGATAAAAGAGGAAAAAAGTGGGACAATAGAACAACAAATGTACCAATGTGTCTTTCAAGCCCACGCCATTTAAAGATGAGATAGCAGGAGGCGAGGAGACGGGGAGATTAAACAAACAGGCTTGTGCTCCTTTTCCTTTTCTTTCTCTGTGAAGCTAGCCTAGGGTGCTGCGTCTGTATTATCAAAAGCCAGGGGCCAAACAATATGCAATATGACTCAAACCGCAATCACAGCTGTTACTTAAAGGCTTGAAGGTGCTACAGGTATTAATTGCGAGTTCGAGCTTGCAGACGCGAGGGCCTTTCATTTCGAGGTGTCTAAATTCGAGTCTGTTGTGGATTTTTGTTTTTCGAGGCTGGATTGATGTGATGATAATAATAGTTTACTTCTGACTCAGCGACTCACTTGGCCCTCATCAGGTCTTGGTCTTTGAGGGCAGATCCTTGCAGGTAGATGACTCTCTGGGCCCACAGGGGGACATGAAGGATCCTCCTAACTTGGACATCCATCTCCGCGGGGCAAAGAATCACCACATAGTAGTCCTACACACACAAACACATGGGAACGGGTGTTAACCTACATTATAACCTATATTTAGGTAACACTAACTGAGGAAATGCTGTCAAGCTTGCCATTGAATTGGAATTTAATTAGTTATAAATGTTTTAATGAATGAAATCCAAATTTCCAAGTACACAAAAAAAATAAAAATACATCAAATTAATTAGATCACAGCTACACTAACCACTGCATAATATATATACTGTTACATTATTGGATCCTCTTATCAAAGGAGGCAAATTAATGAAGTTGGCCTATTTAAAACTATGGAAAATGCATCTTGATGCATGCTCAATCATCCAGGTAAGTAAATCCCTAAACGTTGATTCTGTTCATCTGGACGTAGCGTTTTCAGTTTGAGAAACGTTTCATGGCTCATCTAAGTGACTTCTTCAGTCTCAGCTGACTGCAGGTTTCCCCGACCTTATAAACAGTACATTTGCATAGTAATTGAAACTAACACCACTGAATTATTATTATTATTATGGGCTGTGAGGTTGTTTCTCCCACTGAAAACACTATGTCCAGATGAACAGGATCAACCTTTGGGGATATGGTACTGTTTTTCCTACTTTTGTGCTTAACTGCTCAGATTTCCTTATAGAGTAAGGAAGTATTCACAGAGCTTCACTTGTTCCCTATTTTATACCCTAACCAACCTGGTGGATCTTGAGAGGTTCAGCAAAGAAGATCGAAAGAAACTCCCCAAAGTAGCGGTGCCCGTGAATACTTTTTGGTACATGTTATTTTTTGTTGTTGTTTGTTTGTTTTTTTTTTTAAATTTTGCAATAAGTTCAAGCAATTTTTTTTCACTTTGTCATTGTGGAGTATTGTGTGTAAATTTGTATGGTCACCTCAGTGTGGCGAGGTGAGCTAGAAGCACTGCTTCCAGGGCAGAAAAAGCCATTAAGAATAAAGTGGACAGGTGCAAAAACTGCTTATCTCAAACAACAGAAGTGTGAATAACGCAAAGCCACCCTGGTTGAGTCCTAGATTTAGCCCTGAAACTATAGATGATATTTAGATATTTTATTCCCTTTAAACCCCACCTGTGGAGCAGACCAATCAAAATAACCCCCAAAGAAACAAATAAATATGCACACATTCATTCAAATGAATAAGATAGCGGTTTAATTCTTCCTACTGAAAAGTTCATTCTCTGCCTTAAACTCAGTCGACCTGGCACCTGGAGAGGATCATTACAGACAACAAATGTGCACACACAAGGGCCCCCAACCTCCCCCTTGTCCTACTTAAAACCATTTGGAGAGACCTGTAGCCGGGGGTGAGCGAAGAACTCATTGAGGAAGTCCATGAGGAGGTCGATCTTGAGACAGCTGACACACAGAACCACGTGTTTCTCCGTCTGTGCCCTGTAGCGGCTGTAGTTTCCTCCAGACTTCTGTCGTTCCATCCACAGAAAGGCCAGCTGCTCAAACTGCATTGAGAAAAACATCCATCACATTCAACAGATGGAAACTGGATTAAGTTAGCCTGGATACAGGGAGGAGCCAGGTGGTATATGAAAAGAAAACAATGCCTTGTACTATATAGTGTTTCCATGTGATTAGGGAGAGTGTTTGAGTGGAATTAAGATAAGTGGAAGTTAGTTCAGCATAGCGAATGAATGGAACACGATAGCGGATATTAGCATGGGAAGGCAGGGCATGGAAATAACAGTAGGCTTAAAGAGAGCTCCACAGAGAGACTTTTTTGTTGTTGTTTTTTGTCTGAGCTCTGGAAAGTTGTGCGAATAAATGGGTAGTTTGAGGTTTTAACAGATGTAAGAGTAATCTACTTTCTTGCAGATTTCCACAGCAAAATAACAAGCTATTTTACACCTGACACTTCGTTCAGTCTGAGGGGAGAAAAGGAGCATTTATTATCCCGTTCGTTCCCCCGGTGATTCCAGCAGGTCCAGAAAGAACTATCATGATGCAATTTTGTCTCACTCCATGTAAGCAGTTCTCCACAAAATCATGGTTGATACTGTTGTTGGTCTGAACACAGTTTATTAGCCACAGTCACAATGAATCTCCGATGTTTCTGGCCATACACCTACATCTATCCGATTTTAATGGGCATATTTCATTAGTGTGCAGTTTTTCTCTATGAACTAATCATTTTGGCCCAGATAAATGTGATCACCTTTATGTTGAGATAATGTCAGCTTATTAAAGGGTAAAAGCATCATCCAGCTACAACAAATGTGTTTTATTCCGTCCTCTTTTAGACTCTATTACAAAAGTATAGAGATTTTTCTTCACGCTGGGCAATTTGAATTTTAAACAAGAGAATTGGATTAAATTTCAGACTTCTTATTTTAATGGTATTTACAATAATGATCCTTTTGAGGCTCAAAATTGCACAAAATGTCTTGGCAAGAGAGGCGGATTTCCTGCTGTGTGTTGGGGACAGTTACAGGAAAAATCAACAGAGGAAGCAATAAGAACCAGAGCGACAGCTGAATCCTGATGTGCTCTGCGGCTCTCCTGTGCAACCTGGAGTCTGGTCATGGCAGGATCAGAGTCAGACAGAAGGACACACTCACACTCGCAGAGTGAGTGGGGGTGGAGTTGCGTTTATGGAGAGAGGGCAAAGGGGTGGACCAGTTTCTAAATGTCAAAGGTATTTATGGATGAAAGATAGAGTGAGGGGCCGAAGAGGATGACATGATAACCACGTCAGTAATCAACAGCATGCAAGTGCAAATTTAAGAAAAGTTGTCTTTATGGTCATGATTTGTGAAGTTATTTGCAACCATGGAGCCCTTACTCGTGGAAACAAAACAACACAGATAAATAATAAAAATAGTGAGATCATGCTTGTGTAGGATGCAGTCCTACACCTACAGTACAGTGTGTGTCTGCTTATTTGATGCCACCAAAAACAGAGAAAAAAAGTTAGCAACAATTTGTAGCGTCATCACTTGTGTAGCAGTAGTGAGAGCGTGAGAGATTTCCTGCCCACGAAAACCTCCTAACTGCAGGTATAGTATATACACAGTGGAAATTTATCATATTTTCGCCTTCGAGTCTTTCGGGAGACAAACAGCTAGTGCAGCTACCTCAGGGATAAAAGCTTTACACAAATATGAGAGACAACTGTTAGGATACAGAGGGACAAGTGCATTTGTCAGGGTGTTTTTATCAGTTGCTGTACAAATAGTGTGTTTGTGTGAGTGTGTGTTGGTAAACGGTTGCTCCAATTCTCTGTCATGAGGTTCCCTCAGCGGAGTAGTTAAATGACAGGAGAGGGATTTGGGGAATTGAGTGAGCATGGAAGACACTCTTGTTGCTCTCTGAATAAAAATAGTCTTGCAAATCTATGTAGGCTGCAGTGAGTCATCACATTATTGTGTGATGGGGGGAAACACAAAAAATATTAGTGTTAAGTAGGAAGACTTTATGTGTTGTGTACCAAGAAAAACGTTAACTTATTTCTGATGAGTTTTAAAAACATCTGTGGCTAGTTTATCTCTTAGTTTTTACCTCACTACAAACTGAAGGAGAGCTCAAAGCTGTTGGTCGCTTGAAAAAAAATTGATGGAGATGGACGAAATGATTTTTGCCGCCACTGCTTTTATTTAAATTAATCTGAGTGCTGTTTAAACTTGCACTGCACTCAAACTTTAGCGCTTTCACTTCTCACCTGGATGGGGAGCACAATGAGTGCCACAAAGATCATGATGACCACCAGGAGCTGCGAGGGCCAGATCTGTGGGGTGACATCGCCGAACCCCACTGTGGAGAAGGTGACCACGCAGAAATAGAGCGAGTCGAACAGGGTCAGGTTGTTGCCCGCTCGCTCGAGGTGTTGAATGCCGCAAATGCTGATGAGAGAATAAGAAAAAGGAGCGTGCATCGTTGAGACAGAGACTTCACACCTAAGCCATAGGCACCTGCTTCACTCGGCGAGGTATGGGTGCTCGTGGGGGGGCAATATCCACGGATAACTGTTTTTCACGCCTGTGCCTATATGTGTGACTTTGAATGTGTGGAAATGGGAGTGAATGCACGCCCGAGTGCATTTGTCGAACATGGTATACTTTAAAATAAATAGGTGTGCGACTCCTGGCTGGACATAATATCATAATTTTTAAGGGACAGATGAGTCAACAGGCAAATGTCAAACCCGGAAATGGTCGGAGATACTGTGTGAATGAACTTGTGGATTAGCTCAGGCTTTCACACCAGCAAACTGCCACATCCTCCACTGCACTGAAGAAATTGCCAGTTGTCATCTCAGAGCTCTATCTCACTCTTACAGTTACCAATTACCTTTCTGCTCTCTGCCTTTCGCTCTCTTAGCTCCAGTGGCTGCATTTTTCATTCTCCTCTCTCTCTCTCTCTCTTTCTCTCCCTCTTTTTTTTGCCTTTGCATGTATCACACTAATGGTCGTCCATCTCGCCCTCTTTTCCTTTCTCACTCCATCCATGACCGCGACACCTTTCACTTCCCACTCAACCTCTATCTAATGTCCTTTTTTTGCCTGCGCTTTTTTTTGCCCCCGGCTCTCAGTGTAATGCCAGCAGTAAGGGTACGCACCACGTAAACATGAGACAGACCAGTGTGCTGATAAGTATCACCACCTGGTTAAACATGGCTGAGTGCGTCCGCTGGATCGCCCTGTGGAGATCGTTCTGCAGAGAGATGGTGAGACAGATAGGAGTCAATGTATGCAAATGACAACAAGCTAAGTGCTGCATTGTGCAAGTGTAAAATGAGGATGAAATGTAGCTGATGGACAGCAGGACAACCTTAAATGAAAAAAAATAAATGCAGGAATATTGAAATGCACTAAAAATGAGATAAGCATTGCCAATTACTGGAATATAAAAATCAGCAGGAGAGGGAGGTTACCAAATAATGTGAAGCAGCCTTAGTTAGCTGGATGTCATTGGACTGACTGAGGGAGGGAATGTTAAGTGCCTCAGGAAATAAAATCCATGTTATTATTATAAAGGTTTTCTGACTGATTTACCTTCGTAGGAGAGTGTTTAAGATAAAACTGGTGAGCTGAAATGGGAAACAGAGAGGGGCAATTGCATGCCAACAAAATAGCATAATAGATGCTGAGATGAAAAAAAAAATGGACAGGGACATTGTGCTCCACTTACTATCATGTTCTCCAAAGCATGCTTGGCCAGCCAGCAATTTAAAAAGACAGGGATGAAGAGATTTCTGAAGGATGGCAAAATCACCTGTCAAGAGAAAAATAAATGCTTCGGCTTACTTAGCCTTAATTGCTCTGTTTTCATGTTACACAGTCATGGTCTCTGGCAGTAAAGGGGGTTCTGTGCATCTTGGGATATCCTCACGGTTTCAGGTATTGGATAGTGATGTGTGATTTTTTTTTCATAGGTGGGTGGGACTACAGTGCTTGAAGCCCAAAACAAATGGCTGCCTGCAGAGACTCCCCGTGCCGTCAGTGCTCAGTAATGCGTATCCTTCCACTTACAGTGATCATGAAGGGAACAGCGCTGATCATCTCCAGAATGAAAGGGACACGTAGTACCTGCTCCCAAACGTTGCCCTGGAAACACAAACCACACACAGGGGTCAGGAAACTCCATTGTCTTGGCGACCTTAGGAGATTAACACATAACAAGCCCAGTTACTGCAAAGTGCAGGGGAGCAAATTGATGAGTTTTTGCACCATACAATAAATCGAGGTGTGTGTTAGGTCCCTTGTGTCTTTTGAGGAAGGAAGCAGCATTACTCAGTTTCCACTAAGCCTTTCTGCTCAATTAAGATGTCAGCCATAGCTGTTTTTATGTCTCTCCCGCCTGCATATGGCTGACCTGAATCTGACTAGTGTAGGTGGACAGGCATAGGCTATGTCCACAGGAATCAGTCAGCTCTAAATGCTAAGGTCTCTAGCCTCCAGAGCAATCTGCAGAGAGAGCGCCTTATAAGCTTATAGTTTCAGATCCAGACACACATTGATGAATTGCCTTCCCTCTGCCTGGAGAAGGGCGGTCCTCCCCAAAAGTGCTTCAAATGTGTCCATAACAGGACAATGCTGAGGAAACCTCAAGGAGCTCTGAGGTTCTTTCCAAATGCAAGAGCAAAGGAGCAGCATCAAAGGAGAACAAAAAATGTCAATTTATTAGAGTGTACCTAGAAAATCTGCTTTTGTTTCTCTAAAAGAGATTCCAGTTTCAGGGACTGCCCTAAACAACAATGACATAAAAAAAATTAATTAAAAAAAAAAAACGAGTGGTGGTGAAAAAGACTTCTCCTTCGATAGGTCACATTAACTCACCAGAAATGACTACAACCCAGAATTTGAAACAAACAAACAAACAAACAACTGAGCAGGAGATGAGGTTTGCTGCTTCCAGCTGGTGATTCTTGGTTTGTTTTATACCTGCAGATGTCAGACAGCAGCAGGGTACATCCGTGCACGTTTCCAAGGTGAGAGTTGTGCCAATTAATGCATGTTGCACAACAGCGGTAATTTAATTAATTACTCATTGCTCAATTATATCATAAATGGAAACTACTCAATCTACCAGCAAAACAGCTATAGCATTAGTTCAAGCAGGGTATGACGTCACTGAGGAGGTAGATCAGGTGGTCTACTAATTGGAAGGTTGCTGGTTTGATCTGCTCACAATGCATTCATAAGAGTGTGAATTTACTTCAATAGAATTCAAATTAGTTTGATTTATATAGTGCCAAATCACAACAACAGTTGCCTCAAGGCACTTTATACTGTAAGGTAAAGAGTCTAAAATAACAGAAAGAAAACCCCAACAATCAGGTGGCCCCCCTATGAGGCAGCACTTGGCAACAGTGGAAAAGAAAAAGTCCCTGTAAACAGGAAGAAACCTCCAGCAGAGTCAGGCTCAGGGAGGTGCAGCAAATGATTGGGGTTGAAGGGAGGGGGACACACTGTGGAGGACAGACAGCTTAATAATAACTAATGATTAAATGCAGAGTGATGTAAAATGTGCAAAAGAGTCCCTGCATAAACGTTTGTATAAATGGTTATATAAAGTGCTTCGAGCGTTCAAGTAGTAGTAGTAGTAGTAGTAGCATAGAAAACAGTTCATTTACCATATTATTTTCTACATCCGGGGAATATCTCATATAGGGAATATCCCCCCCATCTCACGCCATAGTTGCTGTTCATCTGAAAGCCACTTTGCAACCCACCTCTAATCACAGATCCTCCTGTCGTGTTGCTTGCCCCCACCTTAGCATTTAGGGGCAGCAGGAAAGCTCCCAAAGCAGAGCTGTGGCACCCAAATAAAATTACAGCAGGTGTAAATAATATTCTTTTGAGAACATTTTATCAATTGAGATAATCTTGTTTAATCAAAAAAGAGATTTTAGATGCCAAAGAAGGTCACAGTTTGTAAGCTTCAGCTTCATTAAAAAAAAAACTAACCTGATCGATAACAAAGCTCACAGCACATAATGTTGTTGTTTTTACTAAATGAGGTCATGAGGAGCATTAATGTAAAAATGATCTATGGTTGAAAGACATAATGCCATCACTTCAACTTTAATAGCACAGCAGAAGTTTCCAGTGGACAGTCACCACCATCAAGCATCAGAAATCCATGCAAATCCCCCACATACACCACCACAAACAGGCTGGCCAACGGGGTCGTGTGAGTGGCTCACCTTGTAGCTGAGATACACGAGTAACATAGTTTCCGAAAAGCTGATGAAAGCCACAAGCACCTGCAAAAACAGAGAGCGAGAGAGAGAGAGTAATGTGGAGAAACAGACAGAGGGAGAGCAGACACAGAAATTAGGAGTCGCAGAGATGGGGAGCGTGGGTGGAATCAGTGGGTGTGCTGATGTTTGAGCTTCAGAAGGAACAGGTTTAAGTGAAGCAAGAGACAGCCTGGTGTCTGATGTACATTTATATGTATGTGTGGGTAACCACATTGTAACTGTAAATATATGTCAAGTAAGAATGACCTGAAATAATGTGACCTAAATTTAATTGGCAAATAAGCCGATAAAGCGAACGCAGATATTTTGACTTCTGCGCATTCGTGCATGCAGAAGTGATCAGACACAAAAATGGAGGCCTTGTTTACATGGGAATGTTACAGATGTATCTAACCTGCAGTGCCCACAGCGGTAGAGGTCTGTCAACCCAGATGATCAGCTTCCTGCAGAGGTGGAAAAAAAAGGGAAGAATGCAAAGTGGAGGAGACAGATGTCACAAAGAAAAGCGAAAAAACAGGCAGACAATGTTAAAATTAAACTAGACTAATTAAACTGTGCTGATGATACTGTATAATCATCATAACTGGATAATTATCATATTGTAAGAGGTTAAAGGAAAGTAACCCCCCACTCTCCCCAAGAGGAAAAAAAAAGAATCTGGGCTTAAGGCTGCTTGGCACAATGCTACAAGTCTACTGCCTGGAGCAGGAGGTGGCCCATCCCTTTCCTGAGCTCACTGAGTCAGGCTCCTTATTCATTTGGCGCCAGAGCTTAGCCAATGTCATCAGCCACCAATTAGATCAATAGGTCCCTGAGCAGGAGACAGGGCAAGGCCCCAGGTCCAAACACACCTCCTGGATTCTCTCTCTGCTCCTGTATATTAGATACTCTGTCTTCACTAGATCACTGTTGATTAGGCTGCACAGGCACTGTGTGCATATTATGTTGGCAGGTAATCCATACAGCTGAATCGTGATAAACGAAGGTGGATCAGTAATGTTTAATTTCAACATTGTGGATTGCATCGGTTAAGCGAAGTCGCATTAATTGCATTATACAACATTTCCGGCCGGAGAGCTGGTGTCGTGGATCACGGTATTCCGGGATGGTTTCATGGTCCTATTCTGCAGGCTAAAACCATCACTCCTAATTAAAGCCTTGCATGCTTACCAGTCAAACTCACTCCATGGATGGGATGACGTGTTTTGTTTGGTGCAGTTAACTCCGCTCACACTGCAGGGGGTAAAACCACATGAACAGCATGAATAAGACATCTTCATCCCAGCAGCTTTCATCAAAACTGGACTGAGCCACTAAACGGTTCAGTTTCCAGACTTGTTTTTCTCTCCCTCCATAAAGTTACGGGATACTTTATACACACACACATACACACTGCTGTCCCCTCTATTGACTTGTTGCTTTTGCTCCTGCTATCAGAGAATCTTTTTTACCCAGCTGAGCCATCGTTCACGCCATATTGCTCACCAGTCCTGTCTTTGCTCTTGTGGGTTGTCCAGCAGGACTCGGACGATGTAGAGGAGGCAGCTCAGCACTTTTAGAGAAAAGTTGAACATTCGCACTCGCAGACCTGCAGTTCAAAAAAGAAATAGCCAGCGAGTCAAAGACAACACCAATACGGCAGAATTTATGAAGATACAATTTATTCAGTGCTATCAATATCCTTGATGCATGATTTAAAAAATGTGACACAGAATAAAGCTCTGCAGGGTTCTTTTAAGCAGTGCAGTGCTCTTTGAATCTGTTATGATTAAAGCTTCAATGAAGACATGACACAAATTCTTAAGAAATAAATCCTCTGGGCAACTAGGAGTATTTCATATACCACTAATTATCACTACCAGAAAGCTTGAAAGTCCTTCTGAAAGTTGATTTAATGTGATCTTTTCAATGTGCATTTCTGGCCAGGATTAACAATACTTGGCCTAATGTAGCTGAAGTGCACGCGTGTAGTATATTGCCTAACTAGTAAACAACCCCTTGATAATTCACAATAAGCCAATTACCTCCCCCCCAAAAAGCAACTTGTGTAATCAGTAGAAATATTAATATTACTGTACACCATCCTTGTAAATGAGCACACTGATAATCAAACCCGCTACACAGACATTTAAGCAGGCACAGAGAGTGGACAAGTTGAATAACTGGTGATGAAATGCGGAGCAAGAATGGCAGCACACCACACATTAAAACTGAACCAGTTGTTCAGCTGAACAACTGGTTTGGAAAAGAAGACAGCAGACAAGAAATTCACTCAACCAGGGAAAGCGCGATCCCGAACACGGGCAACTTACTGGATCTTTGGTTTTTGATGAAGAACAGCTTGAGGCGCTCCTTAAAAGTGTTCTCGTTCACATAAAACTCCACCTGCACCCTGAGAGAGGTGATGGAGAGATGGGCAGAGTCAGTAATAGGCAAATGGAGATAACAACGGCACAAGAGAACCCAGAGGAAAAGTACTAGGAAACTGCTTCAGGTGACTGAGGAAATAAAATAGCTGGAGTCAAGTCATGAGACAGAAGAGAGGAAGCGAGTGAAGTGCTATGAGATAAAATAGGGTAAAGGTGATGAAGAAAAACAACACAATTGAACAAATTCGACCTAGAAAGGGTGATAATGATTATGTGACCACGGAAAAGTATGTAAATAAGATGCTGTGGACTGCTGCATTAAAGACTAATGGGTTTTGGAGGAAATGGTGTTCCTGCTTGTCCGCCTGCCCATAGGCCCAGACAGCTGCAGTCACTCTCGTTATCTCCACTGATTAAATATAGAGCAACAAATTACTTCCCTCTGATGTTTCTGCTGAACATGGGAGGCCATAATTACTGCTCTTTCTCCCTTTTCATTCTGGCACCCTCCTGTTAGAGGGGCCCGCACGCACACACATTACTGTACACACATGGCCCTGAAACACACACCTGCAACTGGGTCATTAGTATTATTAGACCATTCATGTGGCCATCTGACATGGATTCTTGTGGAGAGATATGATGAAGAGCCACTCTTCAGACAGCTCTTACATGTGTACAGACACATAATCAGGCACTGTCACACACAGACTGTATTTCCTGTCTGACCACCTCGGGGGAGAATTCTCAGTAGCTCCCCTTTCATCCTATGGAGGGAAGAGTGGATGACTCAGGTCGAGGATAAAAACGCCAGGCCCGGTCTCACACAACACAGGCAGATGAAAGAGAGGCAGAACAACTGCGGTCTATTCTCCTGTCTGCAGGAAGAGGAAGAGGTGACGGCAGTGGTTGCGGTAGTTGAAGAGGTGGTGGGGGAGCCTTCCCGGAGTTCCAGAGTGACGTTATACCACCATGAAGTGCACACAAATCAAGATAAAACTACACACCTTCCCAGCAAGGAGGGGGGGGGGGAGGCTTGTTGGGGTGGGGTGTAATTGTCGTCTCTGTTACTATGGCAACGCAGAATTCAGTGTCTTTTTCCTTGCCTCTCTTATGAGCACATGTGAACAAACACACACTTGTGGAAAGTGTTCAGCCACCGGAGCTGATGGCCCCGCTGCAACTTGTCGACGGTTCCCTGCGCTCTGAGCAGATTGCTGACAATAATGCTTTCACACACATGATGAAAAACACACAAAAATAATAGAAATCCAGATGAGCATGGGCTCGCGAAAGCCCAGAGATGTGCAACGGCACCTTATTGTTTGCAATATGGATACTGTCTCCCCCCTGTAGAGTCAAACTCAGTGTAGTTAGTTAATTAAACTTTAGTCAACAGTTAGTTTTACAAATTATAACATGTTTACTCTTCATTAGTAATGTTACAATTTACGATATTATGTAGTGAGAGTTCAACACGGTGTATTTTTTAATGATTACAATGCTATTGTAGTTTTCTAGTAAAGGTTTTACTGCATTATAAATGTATCCTGTCTAACTCCTCAAAGGTGGACACTTGGGCACGACACTGTTGGCATCGTATTTCAATTTACTGGGTCCACTTGAGCATCAAAGTCTTTTTCCTAAACCCAAGACAAGTTGCTGCTATCTAGAACTGTATGATGTAGACTGCTGCCTCCACCCATTAGCCAACTTACATTCTCCTTAAAACTCTGGGAGGTGCGTGTCGTCATGATAAAAAGTACCCTAACTCCATATTTTGGACAAAAATGAAAGAACCAATCTGGATAAAAATATGTAACCATTTTATTATTTTTTTTGTCCTGTGATTGGCAGTGACTGGAAAAACAATCCAAAGCTCAGCAAGTAACTAATAGTTAGTTAAGAAATGCACATTTATATTTAAAAATCTATTATAAAGTGTAATTAAAGTGTAATTAACATAACATATTCCACATTATTAACAATGGCTACTATAAAGTGTTGGACTGGATATTTCAGCTGTAAATGTGTTTAGTGACAATAAAAGGCATTCTATTCTACAATAACCTTATTTGTGGTTAAAGTTTTATATCCAGTGTCAGGTCACATTACTTTGCACTTTGCCATCTTTTAAGGGTCACTTTTAGTATTTCCAGTTAACTTTTTTTTTTTAAACTGTGTGGCATTCATGTTACTGTTACTCAGCTAGTGTTGGCAGGTCTGGTGGACCCACTGCATTATCATGTTATATCAATACACCCCTTAACAACAATTTATGTAAAACAAACAAAAAAATAACCTAACAGATGTTTCTTTTATTAGTGGTTAATATTTGGAATTTGCCTCAGTTAGATAACATTTATGAATAAAAGTGCTGTTCATTTTTTATTATTATTATTATTGATAAAATGTATTAGAAACTGAAAAAATAATCCTGACCTAACCATCCTAACAGGTAGGAAAAAAATGTATTGATCTTGAACAAGTATAATTAAAGGAAGGGTTCTCAACACTACTGAAGTTTATTTCTTTGAAATAAATTAGAAGTGAATCAAGTTCATGCCATATTACATATTAGTCCCAACAATGAATAAATGATAAATACTGATCGATAAGTAACAACTCAGGCAAAGCTATTTATTTATTGTGTCCCACCACCAATTTGCAGCTGGGACAAAGCGTGACAAACTACAGATGGTTTCTGCAGACATACAGCAGGGCATGTAGAAGGAGGACAGTGTGGACAAAGGTACACGGAATTGGTGTACACGTGTAGTGTCAATGTGTGTGTAAAGTCATTGAAAGAGTTTTATTTTATATGTTTGTCACAGGAAATGAGCCAAAAACAAGAAGTCTGAGGTTCAAAATGGTAATAAATTGTGTCATTTTTTATTTTGGTAAACAATGAAAACAGGTTTATCAGACCTAAACATCAGACACGAGTTAATTAAAATTGGTCAAACAGCATCTAAGACACTTTTTGCATTGCTTTCATATTTCAAAAGTAACCTTTCTGATTATGTCTAAAGCTACATTATATTCTAGTAAACATCAGCTCCTCTTACACTCTTGAGTGGGGCTTCTTTTGAAAAGCTCCACTGTGCCAAGTTCCTGGTTATCATCCTCATAACAAAAAAGGTAAACACTAAAATGTTTACTTTCCCTTGAACTTATCTGGCCTTTTACAACCACATACATCTCAGGCTGCACTTTAAGATCTGACGGTGACAGTGTTTTTCTCTCCTGCGCCAAAACATTTTTATCGCCTGTTTGTTCTCATCTTAGGACAATTTAGGTGACATACGTTCTTAAATCCTGCCATCTGAGTATTTATTCATTCCAGAAAGTCCTCAAAGCCTCTTCATATTTTGTGAGACGAGAAGAGGATAATTTCAGAGGTCATTCTAGCCTTGATGTATTTCTCTAAGCAGAAGCTTTTCCACTTGAGTGTACAATAGAGGATGAAAAGTAAAGTGGAAATATAGCCCAATAAAGACTTGAGCCGTAGGATAGATTGAAAGTCGGGAACTTTAATCTAAGGGGAAGGTGGAGGAGAAAAACATATTAAAAACTCATAAAGAGCATTATTTCAAAACAAAAGACAAGCAATCACATCACGATGATACCCCTGGGCAATAGCCTCGTTCCCGCCCCAAGGCCTTCTAAGAAAGTGAAATGAAAATAAACGATTAGATAATTGTGGGGGAAAACTGGTTTGGCTCATGTTGTGCAGAAAATAACATATGTCACTGAACTGGGGAACAGCGAGATTCATCACGAGGGAGAAACTCCCATAGAGGTCCTCTCCTCTCACTCTCTGCTCTGACGCTCCTTCAATAACGTTGATTGATCAAGCTAATTATTTACAACCAGCGAAAATTATCTTTTGGAGTTTAGCAAAGTAAAACTAACAGCTTTAACAGCTGGAAACGAGAGCACGTGACTAAAGAAGCATAACAAAAACGAGCCCGGAGAGATTTCACATTTGCATGGACGTGTGTGACGGGGAGGCAGAGGGAGATAGGGAGGACTGAAACACAGACAGATAAATGTGGTTAAACAGACGCAGACAGATGGACAGACAGACAGAAGGGGACATGCGGAGGAGGATCTCTGAGAAACACAGAGAGAGAGAAAGAGAGCTGAACCTCGTTCGCCTGCTGCTTCCACCCATGCCTGAGCTCCATAATGACACAGCATTGGCCGTCTAATGACACAGTGGAAGAGACTAAAGAAACCCAAATCTATGCGCACAAAGCAGCACAACATAGGCTCATTATGACCTCCACACTAAAACTCTGAAATAACAGTCATACCAGCGACAGAGAACAAGCAGGAAAATAAAGTAATCGAGGCAAAGATTCTATCAGGGAAATCAAAGCTTGTTATGTTTAATGAATGAAAAGATGATGTCTTTGGAAAATTAAATCCAAAGAAAATATTCAAATGTGCTTTAATACACGAGATGGGGAGTTTTTCATTGGAATACACATAAAAAAATTACACTAGCTGCTTGCAATGAAAGTCAATAACATATGATGCCATTTATACACTCGTCACATACACCCTACACTTTATTAGGTACACCATGATAGTAACTGTTTGAACCTCCTTTTGTTTTAATTCTTCCCAGCACAGATTCAGCAAGATGCTGGAAACATTCATCCGATATTTATTCCCATATTGACATGTAGCACCACACAACTGCTGCACATCCATGATTAGAATCTCCCGTTCTACTACCATACACTGTGCATTTACCCATTGCAACACATCCCAAAGGTGGTCTGCTGGATTGAGCTCTGGTGACTGTAGAGGCTGTTACCAATTAGAGATGATTTCCTGTTATGCTGTTGGAATAACATGTCATAATGTGGTCATAATTCATTCAGACCTGAAAACGTTTTTCCAATTTTGATGACCACTTTTGTGAATTGGAGCTTCGGGTTCCTGCTCTTAGCTGAAAGCCTGGCACTGGGTGTGGTCTTATGCTGTTGTAGCCCATATGCTTCAGTGTGTT